CTAAAAATGAGTTATCTCTTTCTCTCCTTGCTGTCAAACAACCCAGAAATGCTGCCTGTTGCTGCTCTTGCAGACTGGGGTCAAACCCCAGGCCCAAACACCTTTTCCTCTGTGTCAGGAGCAGAAGATGGTACCTACCTTCCAAGCACAGTGTAGGACAAGAGGAAGCCTGACTCTGGGGCTGTGCTGCCTGGAAGTGGAAAGAGGCACAGCTCATGAATGCTCAGAACCAAGAAGACAGGCTATCAAGGGCGCTTTCTGGTTTTGCTCTTCAGCTGGAACCATATGTAAATGAGGAAAGGTGACCAAGCAACTGCAAGGAACACACATGACCAATACTTGGGACATATACCTACACCAGGGTCAAGGTTTTTCGTCACTGAGTACAGTTCCTGCCCTCAAAAAGTAGGCTGACCAGAAAACACTGCCCCACACTCCAGACACGGCAGTCCCACAGCTGAGGCTTGGAAGTCCTGTCCCATGAGTATTCTTATCCAGGATCCACCCTTCCTGAGAGCAGTAGTAGATGGATCTCACAGTTTCCCAGTGTCCCCTCTGCAGCCTTGGCCTCCTGGGTGTTCCTAAGGGGTCAAGAAAGACACTGTCCAGGAGCAAGCCTGGTGCACAAAGACATAGGCCCCGGGAATAGTAAAGAGAAGGCAGAGCTGAAGCTAAGGGCCTGTCACTCACAACTGCTCACTGTCTGGAATATTTAACTATGTAAAGATACGTTACATTTGTTTATGCTGCAGAATATCACTTTAAGTGTGTAAAGATGTGTTATATTTGTTTCTGTCACATTTATTTCCCAGATGTGTTACATTTGTTTCACCTTGCCTGCCTAAGGCAACTGACTGGTCTAATAAGTAGCTGAATGGCCAGAGGAAAAAAGAGAGAGACATGCCAAGGGCCAGAAGCCAAGCAGCCAGACACAAGAAGTGGTGAAAGTAAGATATCCAGAAGGAAAGAAAGGTAAAAAGCTCCAAAGCAGAAACAGGTTAAAGTATAAAAGCTAGCAGGATGAGCATAAGATAAGGCTGAGCATTCATAACTAATAAGTCTCCATGTCATGATTTGGGAGCTGGTTGGTGGTCCAGAAAAGAAAGCCTGATACAGCTTACTAAGCCAAGCACTGAATACATTCTCTCCTATGTGGGTCACAATGGTGTCACTGGACACATGCACACTGTGATGCATGGACAAGGAAGGTGCACGGCAGTTGACACATTAGTGCCTGCTCAAAAGAGTGAGTATCCTCAGGAACTGGAGGCCACATATCAGGGTGACAAGCAAATCTTTACTTCAAGTGGCTTGGGCAGTCCCTGCAGGAAAACTGCTTTCAAGTACTAACATACCTCAGCTTCCACGGCTTCCCTGCTGCAGCCACTCTGGGAGATTGAGGTATGCACACCTGCCCTGTGTGCTCACCCTTGCCATCTGCTCACACACACTGGGACTGCTATGGAAGGAATCAAACAACACCAGGTGGAGTGCACGAGCCTGTTGCTAACAGGCTGCCTCTGGGTCTGGTTTTGAGGAATCACTGGCAGGCCACACAGTGCTGTTGCTCTTCCACACAGTTTTCTGACTAACATGTTCATTAAAGCCTTTATTTATCTTTGACAGAGTCTTGCTACTATGTAGCTCTGACTCCAGACTCTGCCTCTGCCTTTCCAGTACAGGGATTACAGGCAGCAGATGTGTTTGACACAATATGCATAAGGAAAGACTGTAGATCCAACTCTCCCACTGGGGGAAATCTCAGAATATACTTGGCTGTATTTATTACAAATCTGTCCATAGTAGAAGTATTGCCAATTCAACATTCAGGCAACATAGCTGGACAACCTGTCGCTTTGAAGGAACCTCAGAGTATAGCTCATAGTCCAGTGAGATCTGGAACCTTTTAGAAGCATGTACATTTAGGACTACTGGTAGCATAGGACTATCACAACCATGAAAACCATGGCACAGGAAGACAGGAAACCTAAAAAGTGCTTCTACCTCAAGTACACATGAGATAAGAAAGAAGATGATCACGCAAACACCCTGAGCAGCAGCTGAAGTATCTGCCTTTTGCCTCAAGCTGAAGCTCTAGCTCCTGTACTAACCAAAGGCAGCACTGCTCACCCGAGAGTCTCTGAGCCTACCTGCAGATTGTCCTCAGCACAAAGCCACCAGCTGCCACTGTGCCTTCCAACACCCACCTTGAGGACTGCCTTCATCTTGCTTGGAGTGTGCCAGTACCAACGTCCCCATGATTCCTTAGGGTTGTGTGGGATTAAATAACACAAGTCTGGGCATTTTTCCACTAACTTTAGAGAGAATGAGTGGAACCCAGGCAGACAACTCCACAGGGACCACCTGGTTAAGAACTCTAGTTCTCTGCACCAGGAAGTGGCCAGGCTGTCACAGAAACGCCCATGAGAGCCACATGGACATAGCCCAAAGCCACAGAGGTGACTCTTTCTAAAAATGCCCAATATGCACCACGCACAAGCCAGGCAGGGTGACTGGCCTGTCAAGCACTGCCATCCCAGCCAGGTCCTGCCCTGGCCCTTGGGGCTTATTAAGTACTCCTCAGTTTTTCCCTCCTTACTAAAAGGCTAGGCCATATCCACCAGTATTCATAAGGCCCCAGGGCCACCCCACTAGATGTTAGGAATCAGGGTGTGGATTTGAAATCCACGGTTGCTTCCCACCAGCCAGGTGTCCCTAGGTTTTAAGCATGAACTCTGTGTAATGGCCACAGGAAGGCCAGCCCCCGTGTGAGTAGGACAGGTTCTCAGCCACAGTTGGGGGTTCAGGCTTCACCTATGGTGAGTTGTTCAGAGCTGACCCTATATATGGGTGGGGATAACAGGTAAGCTGACAGTAAAGAAACATCAGTGCCTACTGTAGTGGTGCACACCTTTAATGCCAGCACTCTGGAGGCAGAGGCAGGCAGATCTCTGTGAGTTCGAGGCCAGCCTGGTCTAAAGAGTGAGTTCCAGGGCAGCCAGGGCTACACAGAGAAACCCTGTCTCAAAAACAAAACAAAAAGGAAAAAAAAAAAAAAAGAAAGAAACATCAGCCTGACCACCAGTCCCTTTGGTTCTGCTTTTCCTGAAGGACTCCCTAGACTCAGGCATATGTGTGATGCTGCAATGTTCTGCGAAGGCCCTGCAGAGCCACAACCTAGGCAGAACCCGGAGTCCTTCCAGAGCTGACCTGGCTGAGGCTCGGGGGCAAGTATACACTCACTTCTAGCCTGCCAACGAATCTGGCTAGACCCTTGGCCCTTTGGCCAGGCGCCCTTCCAAGCTGGCAGGTTGGGTTGCTGCACCACCTTTGGGTCTAGTAGGGAGCGGCTGACACACTTGAGGCAAAAGTGGCGAGGATACGTCTAAGTTGCAGGCTAAAGATCCTCATCTCCCCTAGGCCTTCGGAACAGAGTTATATACCAGTGTCTCTCGCCACTCCCAGGCAGAACGCAGGAGTGCTAAAGTGGGGCTGTGTCGAGGCAGGTGGGGTTGGGGTCCAAGGGACACGCTGAGGGATCTGAAGTAAATTTAGGCACCCACGGAGTGGGAAGTGAGGAGGTGGGGTCTGGGAGCTCACAGAAGGGCAGGATGGTTAGGGTGGTGCAGAGTCCTAGAGGCGTACAGAGGGGAGTCCGGAAGCGAGCAGGGGTTGGAACAGGTCATAGGATGCCGGCGACAGCCCGCGCCCACCGGACACTCACAGTAAATGAAAGCGAGGGCCTGCAGGAGCACGACTCTGGTCAACCAGAAAGTGCCCGTGCGCAGCCGGACTGGAGATCCCGCGGGATCGCGAGCAGGAGTGGGTGGCGACGCCGGGCTCTGATCCACATCTCCAACCTTCCGTTTTCTCAGTGACCCCTCGGGCGCAGCCATTACTAGGCTATGTGGGCGCATGCGCACGGAGGGCGGTGCGCACGGAGGCCCCGCCCACACTTCTGGAAAGCCACATATTCTCCCCTGGACGACACGCCTACCCACTTGCAGCCAACGCCCACGCGCCTCGCCCTCCCTGGGCGGTCTTGCCTAGTGGTGGTCGTTTCCGCGGTGGCTCCAGTTTATGCAGAGGATTATGCGCCAGGTGAAGAACTGACTGGAAGGAGCTAGTGGACAGCTGCACCCTGGTTGCAGATCCCCATGGGGAAGGCCAGACCTGTGGCAGAGGCAGAGCAGGTCCTTCACTCTGAGCTCCCTAGGCTACCCGCCGCCCAGGAAGGCATGAAGCATACTTTCCGACAGTCGGCAGGAGCAAGCCTGAAAATCGGCCTGGAGCCTCCAGATTCCTATCCTACCTAAATCTCCTTTTCTGTGGTCCCCAAAGAACCCAGTAGACAGGTAGCGCTCCTACGAGGACCTAGGCGTGGATCTCAAGTTGTGTATGTGGCCAGAGGACCATCAAGGAAGGACTCAGTAGGAAAGAATTTACCGACCAGTGGCCTGAGCAGAATCCCAAGGAGACACACCTGCAACTCTGCTTCGATATTTTAATTTTTTTAGTAGCTTATAGTGGCCTTGAACTGTATAGACCCGGATGACAATAAACAAATAGTCCTCATGACTTTAAGTACTGGTATTAGAGGCCACATGCCTGGTAGCAACTCTGCTTTTTCATGTTAGGGGCCACTTAGACCCTCACACAAATGATACTAGAGAGGTGCTCTGCAGCAGAGCAGAAATGCTGTGCGCAGGACAATGGCAACACCAGCCAGCCCTGGGGGGCTTAGGCAAACCACAGGGCTCTGGAATTCCTTCATTCACTTTCAGAGCTCCTTATGTATTCAAGGTCTTGTGTCTTTCTGAATTATCTCTACTGTCTTAACAGTTTGTCTTTAGTATCTCCTTTTTGCTCTTGCTGTTTTGAGATATGTTTGCATGATCAAACAACTCATTAGTGTTTATACCTCCATACCAGCACTGAGCCTTTCCTGGGTAAGGACTGGTGTGCAGCTGCAGGGACACTTCCCAGCCTCCAGTCTCCCTGATGCTGGAGTAGTAGCATATAAATACATCCTATAAAGTGTTTGGTTTTTTAAAAGTTTCCTTTTCTTTTTCTTCAGAAACACTCCCTTGGGAGCCCAGCTGTGAAGTATGCCCCATACAGATGTTACAATGGATAATACAAATACTTCCCACCTACCAGGCTCCCACAGGCTAGCATCTGCCCAAGGTCTCAGAATTTCAGAGACTGAAGCAACAGTTACACCTGTGTATCCTGTATCCAGGTTCTCTAATAGGCACCCTTGCCCCTGCCCTTACTACCCACTGGCATGTGCCAGGCTGGGGATAGGCCAGCAGAGACATTTGGGGAAGGCAGCTCAGGCCCACACAACTTCCCCAGGTCATTTCTGGAAGTCAGCACTGTGCAGGGGATGGAAGGAGAGGAAGGACGGCTCTACCATCAGGTGTGACCCTGGGTGCTGCTCAGGTGGGGACCATCCTCACAAAGGGCCGTTTGTCCTCAGCTTCCCCTTGCAGTGGTAACATTGTCCTCCCTGCAGAAGGGCACAATGGGGCATTGTGCAGAGCATAAAATGGGCCTCTTGTTCCAGCATCCAGCCCTCCAGCTGGGCTGGGACTCAGCTCTAGGCTTCCTCTCTGGTTTTTGCCCACGATGGGTGAGGCCAGCAGAAGGGTCTGCAGGGAACTCATGTCTTTGGTGGCTCAAGTTTCTTGCCCCTGGCCTGCCTTCTTGGGATGCTGTCTGGAACTGGCTTTCAAGCAGGTCATACAGGGCAGAGTTGAGCCAAGAAGAGGTAGTGTTCTTGCCCATTTCTGCCCAAGTTTAATAAGTACACTGGGAAGCTGGGTATGTGGTGCATGCCGGTGAGCCTAGTAGTGGTGGTGCTGAAGCAGGGGGATTGCAGCAAGTCTGAGCTAGCCTGGGCTAAATAGTGAGACTCTGTTTTAAAAATCTGAGACAGCACTGGTGTATTATTCACCCACAAAGAGGAATGAAATTGAATAGTATGGATGAATCCTAAACCCTCGAGTCAAGGGTTTAGAACAAGTCAGACATGTTGTAGGAAACCTGCAGAAGAGGTACCTCTATTTCGAAAGACTTATTTGTGGTTTCATGGGGTGGGGGATAAAAAAGGGGATCTGGGGACTCCTTCTGGGATATTTTGAAATTAGACAGATACATGACCATGCTGACATCCTTCCTACATGCCACTGAATCCTTTGGTTTATGTGAATTTCACTTTTTTTGAGACAGGGTTTCTCTGTGTAACAGCCCTAGCTGTCCTGGAACTAGCTCTGTAGACCAAGCTCACCTTTCTTTATTTCTTTCTTTCTTTTTCTTTCTTTCTTCCTGATACAATTGTCACTATGTATCTCAGGCTGGCCTTGAACTTAAAGCCATCCTCCTGCCTTTGTCTTCCAAGTATCAGAATTACAGATGTGTATCACCATACTTGGCTTCAACAAAATTTTTTTAAAAAGTAATTAAAAACTATGAATGAGCCCCTCAAGTGGAATGTTTCACAATCACCTAGAAGGCATCGCTTCTACTTGTCAGAGTAAGTTGTGGCTTATACCACATTTGTCTGTGTGTTGAACATCTGGCAGTTGAGCTTCTAGGTCTCCATTCAGCTGTGTTCCACATAGAAAGCAAAACCTAGACAGAGCTAGGCAGCTGGAGGCTCCTACAGGAGGGGGCCGGAGGGGGTCACAATGGGGGCCTGAGATTTGCTCCTGTCACCTTAGAGGCCACCAGCACGAAGCAGGCTTCTAAACATCACTTTTAGCCAAAAACTACAAAAAGAGTCAAGCTGGCAGGCCAGAGGGAACTAAGATGAGGCCTGGGGCCTCTGGCAGAAAGCTAAAAAGAAATGGGGGGGGGTGGAGAGGGGTCCCAAGAGGGATTGACAGTTCATGACCCGGCTGGTGTCTCTGGAGGCTTGGGGCTCACCAGCTCTTAGTTGGGTCCTGTGCCTCAGCTGCCTGAAGCCTCCAGCACAGTGGCTAAGATGGGTATGGGGACAGGGCACACTGCCCGCTAGCTGGCAGCTCTCCCAGCAGCTGCGGAACGGCTTCACAGAGGAATGAGCCCCCTGTCAGCACCTCGTCCAGCTGTCCCCAGGCACCCCAGCCCAGAAGTCCCCACTGTCTCAGGGCTATTGTCCCTGACATGCAGTCGCAGCTGTCTCTGGCTCCCCAAGAACCCAGCTTGGAATGAATATAATCGTGTACCCCTCATTTACCCCAATTTTTCATGTCTTGAAGTCTGCTTATGGAAAGGAAGCAGGTTCCACATCTGTTGCCTTCTCCTAGAAGAGTGGTCAGTTGGGCTGGTCTCCCCACACCCCCGTGACTGTCCACTGGCCAAAACCCATCAGAGACCAGCAGGTGCGGCAGTGAGCAGGTGTCATGCCATTTGCTGGCTGGACTGAAGCTGTGAGTCACAAGCGGCTGTTCTCTTGGCTACTGTACCTCTTCTGCTGCACCCTCAGCTCCCCCTGCACCCCAGGGAGATGAGGCCTTGAGTACCAGCGGCAGCTGTGACTTCAAGGTAGAATGGAAGTAAACAGTCTAGGGTAGGACCCTGCAGCAGAACACGGCTGTGAGCTGTGTTCTGAACTGGAAGAATTCTTGGAAAGCCCCAGCCCAGAGGTCAGAACCCAGAGGCCTATGGGCTGGACTCTGCCCATAGAGCTAGATGTACTGTCACGTGTCAGCCATAGTGCTGCATAACAAACAGTCCAAACCACAGTGTGTGGCCTACTAGTATCTAACCAAAACCTCCCTCACCACATTCAAGGGAACAAATTCAAGCCAGACAGCAGAAAGCCATTTAGTGGTGTGTTTAATTTGCCTCAGACACTGATAGGTATCTAACCTTCAATCATGGCAGAATAGGTTTGGGCTGTAGGGGCTATTTTGTTACATTTTTATTCTAAGTCACCATTTGCTTTACTGCTCATTCCAGAAACAGGGCTCTGGTTAGTAAAGTTGCAGCTGCGGACAACATGGATGGGCAGAAAGCCTCCCTGGATCTGAGAAGTGACGCTTAGGAGAATGAACACAGAAACAAAGTAGCCTGTAAGCTTCTGAGTGAGTTCCTGCCAATGTCTGCTCTCGACCTCACGTCTCACTTCTGGGGAGCTCAATACTCAGGATTCTGGCATAGAGTAGGTGATGGGGAACGGTCAGGATCAGGGTGGTGTGGGGTCCCCAAGATGAGAACTAGGCGTGGGGCTGGAGATCCAAGTGTCTAGTGTCAGAATTAGCCTTTCTAAGTCCAGCTTGGCCCAGTTGACACAGTCACCAGACTTCACCATCCCATTAACAGATGCTGGCACCTTTGCTGAGGCCTGCATGGAGTTCACTTCCTCACAGGAAAAGCTTGAGCGCCCTGAGGACTCTACTGAGGATGGCTTTGGTTTCAAAAGCACCAACTGCTCTGTGCCAAGGAGGAAGTACCAAGACCCTCAGGATACTGTTGGGAGTCAGCTCCATCCAGGGCCCTGACAGAGTAAAGGAGGGGGTCCAGCTTAAAATTCAGGGACCCAGGATCCCCAGAGGCAATGGAGCAAAAGAGTGGAAACAACAGCTGTTCCTAACACATCTCTGGCCTCTGCACACACCTGTCACATTGCAGAAGATAAGTGTTGGACTCCACTGCATGGATTAAAATACAACCCCTTTCCAGAATCCTTTCAAACTGAGAATATTCTAGCAGGGGCATCAAACACAAAAGATGCTGCTGGGTTGAAGGGAGCATGCTCACTCCTCCCCGGAGCCAGAGGCATGCTGGAGACACGGAGTATAGCATGGCATGACACAGGAGTAGGCTGCAGATGTCGGTCGTATGGCAGGAAAACTGTCCCTGTAGGTCTGAGAGATGGACCATGGGGCAGCAGAGAGGGGTAGGTACTGACAGACATCAGCAGCTCTCCTATAGATGACTGTTC